GCTAACATTTGCCTTCTCTTTGCCACTGACAGCTCTTATAATACCATTTCTTACAACAAAGATGAATGTAAACTGGTGTTCAACAAGGAGCGCTGTGACTATGATGTGGTGCAGAAGGACGACCCCACCAAGCCGTGTCGTTCTGGCTATTCCCGTGCAGGATAACAGCTGCTCCAAACCTCTGCACTGAGGAATTCCTCTCCTTCCTTCAGATGCTTTGCCATCACAGAGAAGCATGATGACACAGGAAAATCTCATAAAAGTGAGCACTTCAGTATCTCATTTTTAACCTCCTAATTGTCCTAATTCAGCATACAAGATGCATAATCAGAGTGTCACATTTCTATCAAAAGGTCATATTCATGTTCTTAATTTTAGTTAAGACTTTTTCTTATAAGTGATTTACAGATGTTTATTTAACTTTTAAATTAAGTAGGATTTTATTCTACTAGTTTCCTTTGTTCAATCTGTATTTAAGGTCCCAAGAATTTCTTTAGAATCTGGTGCCAGTTTTCTTACAGATGAAGATGACTTTCTCAGTGCAAGAAGATTTTTGATTTGTTGACAGCACCAGCAGAAGTGTAAATTAATGACCAAAAAAAGAAATTTATCACAGGCTTTGAATCTCTTGAGAATATATTTTTTATGCTTCTGGGACTGGGAGGAACCAGCACATTTTTGTGATTATCACATTCTTCCAGAAGTTATCTGTGGGTGGGAAAGCCCATCTTCCACTGCAAGAGCACCACCTCCACCACTTGTACTTAAAGCAGAATCTGAACAGCTCAGCATAAACAAGAGCTGACACTGGAGAAGAAAGAAAATGAATTCTGATGGGTTTACCAGGCCAAGGAAATGTAGAGCCTTGTCTCATAGGCTCCAGAGAATAGACTGTGTTCACTGAGACCCAGAAATTGCATATAAATGTTTTCAAAAAGATATTTTTTAGTCTCAGTGTCCAATTATATTGGTTTTTCTATTATCATAGTAGCTGCCAGTATTGAAGCTTCCCTTTTTTTCCCCCTCTAAATAAAACTAATTTAGCAATGAAACTCGGGAGTCTTTAACCTCCCTTGCTCAGAGTGGGGAAATGCTCAAGAACATTTGCACAGGTTATTTTTACTGGTTTGGGACTTTTTATTCATGAGATTATCCATGTGCAGGAAAGCAGACTAATACATCACTCATCCTCTGTTATGAATTTTTTTTTTTATTTATGTACCACCAAAAATTAATGAATTGTGTAAGGCAGAAAGAGAGAGGTACTACTTCTGTTTTCCATTCGTCACAGCAATGAGACTAAAGAAAAACTTGTTGAATTTTGGTAACTTCCTCAGAAATCCCATCAGAACTTCCTCCCCAAAGGAGAAATATTTTTATGTTGGTAAAACACTGGAGGACAAGTTTTTCCCATTTTCATATCCACAGGTTATACCATACAAAAGCTTCTTAGAAACAATCCATTATCGTCAGCTTCTAAAATCTTCTAGAATTTAAGATTTTATAGCACTCAAATTCAATCTGTTGACACCTATATGATCAGAGAATCATGGCAATACCACATATTTAATCTAAAGCATATTTCACATTCTAAGTATTTCAAAAATAAAATGCTAGCTGTCATTTTATGAAAAAAAAATTACATGAAATGTAATAGAAATGCATTTTCTACCCCTTTTCAGGTGGCCATTCCTTTTTGCTTTCTCAAGGAGAGGGAAAGCAATTCTCCTAGCTCAAGTTTGCTCTCAGAAAGTGATAAATTACTTTCAAGAATTATTCTAAGACATTGTGGGGGTTTTAGAGCAGGGTTTCCCGGGCTTACTTCTTCACACGACTGCATAGTGCATACATTATTACAAACTAAACAGCCTAAGTATAATTCTGGTGAAACCTGCCAGAGATGCAAGTCACAAAATCTCTCATGGTGTTCTATTTCCTGCTCCTCTCAATCAGACAGGAAGGGTGTGGGACAAGAAATGGCAGGAAGCAGGATTTTTTACATTACAGAGGAAAACAGAAAAGAAAAAAGAGAAGAGGTCCCAAAAGCCAAGATATCCTTTGGATTTGGCTGAAGAATTCTGTGGTTGCCTTCACCATCCCAGTCCGAGTCCTGCAGCAATAACTTCCAACCATGGCATTTAGTCTTCATGGAATCAGCAACTTACAGTTCTAAAAATGGAAAAAAGCTCATGCTCTCTTAATAGAGCTGAAGTATAGTGTAGGTGGGATATACACAAAATTAACTGCATTTCCCCAGAAATAAACACAAAGGATGCTGAAGTAAATAACTCTAGGTATGAAATTGAAATTAAGCCTTCTTTCATTTTGTGTACACATGGGCAGCTTGTGTTCAAGACATAAGAGCAGATAATTTTCTACCACTTGGAGGACCAAAGGCATGCTCTCAATGCCAGTGTGGCCAGAGCAGTGTCCACTGTTGCACCTTGTAAGTTCCACAAAAGCAGAGGCACTAGTGGACAGAACTACAGAACTACAGCAATGCTCCAACCTGCCACCCTTCCTATAGCTAATTCCTTAAGTCACGGCTCCACAGAAAGTCTTTTTACAGACATATGCTCTTTATTTGCTTAATCAGCTGCAGGTAAAGATAAAAAGCTGTGTTTGGAATCACAGCAGTTTTTTGAATTTGTGGAATAAACTTTTCTGTCATTTTTCTGGTTCACTGAAGATTTCTAAGACTTTTTTTTTTTACTACACATCTTGAGACAGAAGGTAGAAGTACAGGATATTTAGCTTTTCCCATAAGCTGGAGATACCTTTTTTGCCAAATCTGCCACTCCTATTCATTTTGATTTACTGCCTCTGGACTTCTGTTCTTGCTGGTACAGCATCTGTGGCCATCTCCCTCAGTTCTACCCACACTTCAGAGATGGAGGTGTCCTCATTGTAAGCATGGTCTGGTATCTGTGATTGTCCCTATAGATCTTTTTGTCTGTCTCAATGTCCCTTGCTTAGCACTGATCCTCTTTCCTGGGATCATGATCTGACAGGATTTTTCAGGCTAGCTGAGAAATTATCACGTTTTAAAAATACATTTGCACCAAGATAAAAAAATAAGGTGTTTCTCATCCCACTGAAACTGCATTGAATTAAAACTGAAATTGGACTCATGGATGGGGACTTGGCTACACATGGAAGAAGGCAGGTGTGTTCAGTTCAGAGAAGAAATTATATTATTGTCTCAAGCTTGGGTCTCCCCATGTTGAATTGAGGTCTCAATTCAAGTTTCTGCTCTGCCACCTGGGAGAGAGCAGGTTACTGCTCTGTTACTGTCCTCTGTTACCTGGGACAAATCACTCACACTGCCTGTGTACCTTGCTATAAAACTAGTACAATTCTTTGATAATTCCTGTTCTGGGAGAGATCTGAGGGCCTAGGCTTTGAGGTTTGCAGGGATATGAACCTTAGACTTAAGAAAAGTGTCCCCACCAAAATATGTCCCCACCTTTACCATATGATCTTGTGTAAACAGTACACTGTATATTCCAGTGTTTGCATGTGCCTTTCCTTAACACAGTTGTCCTTTCTCACACACAAATGGGACAGACTTTAATAAAGTAAAGCCAATGTACATTATACGTAGAAGAGTTTATTTGTAAAATCATGTTTACTTATGATCTGTGAGCTGAAATGTCTCATGCTTCCTCTTGTTCTTCCCCTCTAATAGCAATGATAAACTACTGGATTAAGTGACTGGATACACAAACTGTTGTAATGGGTTCTGCATTTACTCTCCCACACAGAAATCTCACATTCTTGATTCCTCTCAAGAATGTGAGAGTAGTACTGAAATGCTGGTCTAAGAAAAAAGTTCTTGGACTGCTTTCATTTCAGCACACCTCTCCTAGCTTTGAATTGTCCATAGATATTAGCTAGATTATTGGGCTGTTTTAATAACTGCTCTGAAATCATGCTGTATTTCTCTCTGTTGATTGCCTTGCACTAAAACAGGCAAGAACAAAATGAGTTGGTCATCTTGCATTACTCAGATTATCTCTGTTGTTATCCAGATGTAACCAAAAACTCCAGCTGAAGAAGGACCAGAGTAAAATAGCATGGTAAATCTTCAAGAAAGTCTCCAAGATTTCTTTCTGCCTTAGAAAGAAAGAGGATATTCTATCCACCAGAATAAGTGGAAAGAAGGCACAGAAATAGGCAGAGCAATGATTTTCTTAGAATGTTTTTAGTAAGAAATTAACCAGTTGGGAGGCCAACATAAGATTTCAACAAATCTCTGTTAAACAAACCTGTTCCCCACCCACACAAGGCACCTATCATCCTGTACACAAACAATATGAAGAAATGTGATGTTATGTGGGTCACAAAGGATCCAAATACTCAATACATGAATGGACTATCCTCATAGAGTTTGCTGCTGTGTTTTCAGCACCATAGCATTTTGTTGGGTTCCTTTGAATTCACAGATCATGCAAAAAGGCTTCTTCATTGTCCCTTAACACTGCTCAGGCTTAGGCAGGTCACTCTCTGCTGTGGTCCAAAGAAAACTGTTAGCAAGTTCCCTCCATAGCTTGCATAGTTCTTTGCATATCTTGCACCTAGAAAGCAGGAGGAGGTCCTGCACTGGGTGCAGCTGGGTAGTCTGGAAGGCTGAGAAAGGAAATACACAAGCATGTTGGTTGGATATTTAGTGTTTTCAGAGCTGAGCAACAAGTGCATCCTTTGTCACTCAACACCAACCCAGAAAGTTGTGTATTCTTTCATTTTGGCTGTGACAAATTCCCTAAGGTTCATTCCAGTACATATGCATCACAAATTTCCACCTGACTGGTAATTTTTATTCACATAAAAGAACTGCTGCAGGGTGCCTGAGAAGCAAAATATTGCATGTCAAGTATGTAACACACAAGAATCTATTAATTTTTTTTAAATAGCTCAGTAATTTTAACAGAATAAATGCAGTGCAATTTGATGGTCTTTTTTTCCAAAATATCATGGAACATTTGTTCCAGATTGCCACTGAGGACATGGAGGAGCCAATACCTTGAACAGGATTCTATGCTGCTTCCCACAGTATCATCAGCCGAGAGGAAATTGTTACTTCTCAATACCTAAAAGTTACAAAGAGCCAGCTTGAAAAGCTGGGGCACATCCTTAGGCATCTCACAGATGTTCACCAATTAGGTCAGGCAGCACAGGAGCAGGATGTGAGAAGGCAGACTGTGAACTCTCTCCATCTTGACTGCAACCAGCACAAAAGGCAGCTTTGGCCTAGGATCAGGGTGTAGTACTTCACTATCTTGCAGTGCCTTTCTCCCTCTCCTTTAATTGGAAAATGAACATGGTCTGAAACACCAACAGTATCCCAAACCACAATGCTGTTCAATTGGTTTCATACATATTTCTGAGAGATTCAAAGGGGATATGTGGACTGTTGATTTCAAGAAATTCCCAGGGCTGATATGTCCACTGATTAGGAGTCAGGGATATGGTAGTTATCCTCCATTTCAAGGCAGGGCATAAGTGAGCACTGCCAAGTCTAACTTACTACAGACAAGCTGATTGTCACAACTTTATCAAAAACCTGCAAGCACAATCTCTTCTGTCATCCTGAAAAGCGATAGTCTAGTAACCAAAGAAAAACCAATTTACCCAACTTACTGAGTTGAAAGCCAGCTGAGATGTCACTGGAAGTAGTGGTCTCACTGTGACCTGCATTGCACTAATTCTAGCCTTCTCTCATGGACTTCCTGAGCTACCTTTCAACTCTGGAGTTTGAGTAGAAGATATGGAGTAGCCTTGGAGTTCAGCCTCTACTCCCAAAACCACACAAGAAATCACCACAATTATGCAGTCAGAGTTATTAATTTAGGTATTGCAACCTGTGCAGCTCTGGTAATAAGGGATAAACTTCATCACCAAGAAGAGCCACAAAGTTTGAAATACTTGAACCTAGTAGGTGAAAGCTAAGCAAAAAGGACCATACTGGACCTCTTTGCTATCAAATTATTGTCCTTGGAAAGTGTGTCTGCCCCTGACATATCCAGCCTCTGCAGAAAAGGAACAGCTTCTCACTGGCTATAAGAATTAAAAAATAAAATATATGCCAAATATATGCCTATTTCTTCATAGAAAACATGAACATATGGATCTTGTACATGATGAAAAGCTGAAGAAGGAAGATAATGGTATCTTAGACCCATGTTTTAAACCCTAGATGGTTGAAACTAAGCATGCAATTTTGTTGTGATTGGCAACCATCATGTCTCTAATGGTTTTCTCAGGACAAGTGCTAAATACTCCTTCTGGGTTTGAAAAGTGCTTCCTTGTAACTGCCTCCCAAATCTGGTGTGGCACAAAAGCCACACCTGTTTCTCCAGAAATAGGAAAACAGGTTTGTCTGTTAGAACAAACCTTTCTTCCTGTGAGTAATCACCTCATCTTAATGTCCACCCCATGAAGTCATTCCACAGAAACTTCATTGGTGTTAGCCATCGTGGTCAGTTTGCTCAAGGGCTGTTACCACAAATTCCCTCTCTATATAAGGTCTCTGAGAAGATGAGCTTTGTACAGGCCATCTCCCTTCGGGAAGTCTCATAATTCTGCAAGAATGGTGAGTCCTTACATCTTGTACTGTAAAATAACATGGTATGTTGCTATAGATTTTAAAGGAGTTTCTGTTGGATTTATCTCAGTACTTGGCACATTAAGAAACTTGGAGAATGTACAAATTCTGTGTTATGAGAGCAAGAGTCAAAGAGAGTCAAAGGCAGGTAAGAACTTGGGATGAAAAGTCTGGATAACATCTGAACACTGCTGAACTAAAAAAAAAAGGTATCTTGATTTTTACTCCTTTGTCACTCTGTTGCAGTTTTCTGAGTTTTAACCTCACTTCTGCAAAATAAAATGCTAAATTTTTCTCCTCTTATCTCTCAGGAGTGACTTCCTTTTATAAGTCACCAGTCCTACTCTGAAACTACACACTTGCATACAGTATGTGTATGTGATTTTTATTCCTGGTCTACCTTGCTTCTCTTGCCCTTCAAACATTTCAAACTAATATTGAAACTTCAGCTGAATTTTCAGAAAAAAACTCACTAACCATGGTCACAGAATATTGAATTATCTAGGTTGTAAGTGACATCTGCAAGTAAGATACAGAGCCAAGGCTTGAGTATTTAACTTCACCTAAAGTTATTTAATTTGTTCCTAATCCTTCAATATTAGGGTGAAACATTCTGTAGTTATTCAGACTGCAGTAAAGAAGTTTTTGCAACTGTGAGGTTAGTGGAAAAAACAGCTGGGGACTGAGCCTATAGAGAAAAAAAAGACTAGAAAATGGAATGGGTAATGGAAAGGAATAGAACACGCATTTTTCACAAGCAGTAGCTGGGTCTGGCAGTCAATGCTTGATTTTAAAAACCTGGAAAGACAGACATTTTTTCCCCTCCCATGTGATGCTCTGCATCTGCTTCTTCAAAATGGTTTCATATTCCTGATGAGTGTGTTAAAGCATCTAAACAGCAAAAGACAAATGGATTTTAATTTGAAACCACAATGTATTTTCCTGTTATTTACCACCAAGACATCTCAATAGTTACTGAAGGATTGATATGAATTGTTTTCTTGTTCAGAACACCATCTTGGTCTGCCTTCTTGCTCTTGCCATCAGCACGCCACTGTCTGATGCTTCTTGTGTCTTTTTGCCATTCGAGCCAGGGATGTCTAATGGTGTTGTTGTAGGTAAGAAGTCAACTGCCCTCAACTTGACAGACATAATCAGAATCACTGCTTGATTTGTCCATTCTGTGCAATTCATCACAATTTAGAAATAAGTGGAAACAGTGGAGAGGAATCAAAGGGAAACGGGAGGGAAATGGGGTGTAGAGAGCAATATGTTATTAAAAGAACAAGTTATTTGGGGAGCTGAACACAGACCAAATTACAAATTATCTTTTTCCAGGGAAGTAGCACAGTTTTTGTTTAGTCATCTGCATGAAGTAGTAACTCATATTTTCACTATGGAATCACATCTAGAAATCAGAGAAGGGAGAAGGAACTGTGTGTGTATGTAGTCAGTATAAAACAGGAAACAGACTTGTTACAAAATTCAGATTCAGCACCACAAAGTTTACTCGCGTCTTGTTTTTGTATCCCAAAGCAAATTCCTAAAAGCAGAATGGCTGCATCCCTTGAGTCTGCATCTGCCCTTCCTGAACACAGCTAGTCTGTCAGTCTACAGATGAGTGGAGCTGCAGGAAAAAAGTTCCCAAAAGAAAAGCATGCTATCAACACAACAAGAGTTGATGTGTGCCAATATGCAAAAAAAAACAAACCCTAAGTGGTCTAAAATACAGCTTTACCTGGGAAAGAAGGTGCTACTACTTGAAGAAATGACTTAACATCACCAAAGTAAAGAACATTTATAGGCAAAGACACAACCTAGAAGCCTCACCATTCTCTCTTGTTCTGCTCCCATAAGATTCTGCTTTCCAGATCAGTTATTTAGGAGGCCTATGGTCTATTCTGTGGCTGTTGAACAGGAACTTTACATCCAACATATGCTTTCTTCCTGCAGCTGAGGACTGGGAGAAATTTTTTGATAGGATGTAGTTTTGCTTTAA